TTATTTACTTATTTACTTATTTACTTATTTACTTATTTACTTATTTACTTATTTACTTATTTACTTATTTACTTATTTACTTATTTACTTATTTATTTACTTATTTACTTGCTTGCTTCCACAGGCAGAATCAATGGAAGAATCTCTAAAACAAGAGATTGCTAGGGTTGGTACTAACACCTTGTTACTTATCTCCATTATTCAACTTCAAGTAATTCTTATGTCTAGGACTTTGTTGTTAGCAATCTAGTATCAATTATTATTTGTACTTGTTATGGTGATTAGCTTGAAGAACAACTAGCTGAACAGAAGAACATACTGGAGATGACGTCAGAGGTATGGTAACATTAAACAGAGACATCTTGTTATTTAAGTTGCAAAACAAGTGAACATTGTAGTTGTTGTTGTTTATGTGTCATCGTCATCATCGACGCATCATCCTCAATGGGTTATCGTTATCCTCATCGTCATCCTCATCGTCAATCATTAACATATGGGAATTTGATAAAAATTATCAAAAAATGGGCATACTTACTAATAAGAGGGTGCAAAATGTAACGTTATATTTTCTCATCCATATACCCCCTCCCCCTTATGCCCCACTCCAATAAATAATAACTGTTCTCTAAGATTTCTCTCAGTTGATAACATTTTTTGATTTTCCAAAGGAAAATGCATCATTGAAAAAGGAACTGGAAGAGAAAGAAGAAGGAAAGAAAGGTTGGTTTAGGAATGTTGTCATTGAATCTTTTTGCATTTTGCATCACCGGTCATGACCACAGGCCAAAGTAGTTTTAGCTCATTTCTGGCTTAACTTCAAAATGACCAGCAAGGAAAAAATTTGACCAAACAAGTTCCGTAGACACTCTCCGATGTCTGCCTGTCATTTTAAGCCTGATTTCATTAGATTCTACTTAGTAACCTGTTCATTTAATCGACTATACAGTGGCAAGCGAGGATAAATTTTCCAAGCTCAAAGTAATTTATGGCAAGTTACGCGAAGAACACATACAACTGCTGAGAGGAGTAAGTATATTTAGTTTTTCATTTTTCTCCCTAACAAAGTTTATTTAGGAATCTAATAACATTAGTATGTACGTAATATTGTGCCCGGAGGGGGGGCGGGGTACTCCAGCTATATCCACTACACAGGAAAGCGGTAAGCAATTCTACTCTGGAACAGGGTGTATAAAATTGCTCTGGGACAGGGTATATGACAACACACTCTCTCCTCTCTGGAACAGGGTATCCATTATCACAATACCGGAACAGTGTATGATTTTCAGCGATCTTGCTCTGGAACAGGGTATGAATTTTAGCAATTTTACTCTGGAACAGGGCCAGGTTCAGAGGGCTCAGCGGCACATCCCTACCCTAATTGGCAAGAGTACCCCCCCCCCCCGGGTATTGTGCATTGCATTTTTAATTTGGCATTTCCATCACACTTCAATACGTATATCGTCTGTTTTAGTCCCAACCAGCATGCACGCTATATCTCAAATATTTTATGATTATAGATGTTAGATTGTAATTTATACTAAAGTATTTAACATTCATTTGCACCTTTTGAAAATAACAAATAGAATGCAGAAGTGAAACAGAAGCTGAATGCTTCAGAAAAGGCTAGAAAAGTAAGTATAATGGAGTATCTATTGATGAAATGGAGAAAGGGGGGAGGGTTAGATAATCTGCATTGACCATCATAACAAAAGCAACAACAACACCCCCCTCCCCCATCCCTTCCCCTCTCTTCAAATGAATAAATATTGTGACCCTACTGATTGCTTTTGTAGAACTTTGGATTGAATGAAAATGCTGATTACCCTCCCTCTTTGGTTGTGTCGAAACTTGATGGTCCTCCCCTTTATAACTTTGTCCAACCCCTCTTTCAAAAAATGAATACTCCCTAACTCAATGTTTTGTCACTGAGACCTATGCATATTCATGATGCCAAATTATAAAATAACTGCTATAAACCTCACATTCTGATTGGTTGGGCGTGTGCACACAGCATGTGCGTGCACTTTCAGTTGTTCACTTTCATTCCTAACCAAAATAATGGTTATTGTAATTTATATTTTAAAAGAAATAAAAAACTTGGTTGTTCGCTGTGTGCAGTTATAAAGCACTTAGGGATTGGCAGAACACTCGAGAAGTGTTGAGAAGCTTCTCCTAACACTTCTTGAGAGTGTTCTGCCGACCCCTGCATGCTTTATGACTGCACACAGCACGCTTGCATGTTTTCTATTTCTTCAGTATTGCTTGATGTTCAGGATAAATGTTCTCATTAGATATTCACTGTTATAGGAATGTACTGAGACAAATGAAAATCTGAGTCAAGAACTCCAAGCAAAGGTGAATACTACATACAGTTACATTACCAGGATTGAATCATAGAATGAATGAAGAAAGAACAGATTCATGAAAAAACGAACAAATTCTTACTGATTGAGTTACTGTGTTTTATTTCTTCGAAGACAAATGAACTGGAAGAAGTTCAAAAACAACATGAACAAGAAGAAAATGCAAGAAAGGTAATATAAGGTTATACATGTATGATGAGCAATAAACTGGAAATGAGATTTAAGGGGGGTAGGCAGGGACCATGGAGGGGGGGGGGGGATTTTAGCCAAGAATAAATTTCTGTTATGAGTTGCCTAAAGTTTAACCATGACTTAATTCAATAAATATGTCGCAATTGCCCCTCACATGACCTGTTAGTTCAAAATTCGTAACTGGCTTTAGCATGACTGTCTCACACCCATGTGTGGCCCTACGTACTAACTATTCATTTGATACCATACTGATTGAATTATAATTATAGCTTGCAGAGGCCACCGTTGAACAACTGAGAATAGAACATGATGAGAAGGTTAGTAGTATATACGTATACATACACATTCAGTAATTACGATCAGCAGTTATCAGACTATTGGTTGATGATCAGTCGATGTTTTACCAACACTTAATAACCCTTTATCAACATTTTAATTTCAATAATCGGCAGACTGTTCACTCCAATGATTGGCGGACTGTTGCCTGATCATTGATCATTGGTCAACAGTCCAGCAGATTATTGATTGACACGTGTTGACTGGTAATTAAGTACAAATTACCATCATTTGTCACCGTTTTATGGATTTCCCTTTTTAAAGTACACTCAACAAAATTACTCGACTCTGATTGGTCGAGAGGAGTACAGTTATAGCGTTAATTGTACTCCGTAGGAGTACCAAATTCAGTCGCTATGGTAACACGGCCAAAACAATGTCAAAACAATTATTTTCTATCATTTTGTACTTAAAAAGCATAAATAAAATTTTAAAGCCGTAAGAACTAATCTTTTTTATGCATTTCAGTTGCACAATGGACTGGAAATCGGCCGCCAAATAGACAAAGATGAATGGCGTCGC